CTTTTTTTTTTCTTTGTTTTTGGAGGCAGTTTTGCTCGTTCGCTCCAGCTGGGGTGCTAGTGCGGTGATCTTTTCTGGTGCTCACTTGCTATTCTTCAGCTCTCTCTGGGTTCATGTCGTTGATTTCTCCTGCTGAGCTCCTGAGTGCTGGTTACACTAGGTGCTGGTACAACCACCACAACCCAGTATTTTTGTATTTTTTAGTTAGAGGCGGGGGTTTCGTCATGTTTCGTAGTGGGTCTCAAATCCTACTCAGGTAACTGTCTCTCATCTCGCCTCTCCATATTAGGTGTGGATTCCAGGCATGGAGCTGCGCTTTGGTGCCTGGCCTGAGGATTGAGATTTCTGTTCTAGTGGTATCCTGAGGAAACGAAAAAAGAAAAAGAAATCTCAGTTCCTAAAAAAGGGCTCCCCTGGTTCCAAATTAGGTTGAGTCATTCTGCTATATGCAAAAAGAGCAGAGAAAGAATGGAGGAGAAGAATCGGGCAGAAGCTATATGCATATTGGCCAAGAACTTCCCAAAACGGATAAGAGACATCAAGCACAGAGCCAATCAGTTCTAGAAACCATAAGCAGAGTAAATACAAAGAAAACCCACCAGGACACATTAGCATGCACCTGCTGCTGTTGTCTGCTCAGGTGGCCATCACAAAATGCCCTAAAATGTCCTATCTCCAGATACAAACACACTGGGGGTTAGGGCTTCAACACATGGATTCTGGGGGGTACACAAGTTCATAGCAACTGCCACAAAAGAAAACAAAGAAAATAATCTTAAAAGCCACCAAAGGAGGGGGAAAAGATACCTCACCTTCAAGAGCACAACAAAAAGACGACAGCCGCCGAAACAAAAGATACTATGGAAGCTAGAGATGTGAGAGAAAATACGTGCCAAAAATAGAAGTCTATACTCACTGAAAAAAATATATTTCAAAAGCAAAGTAAAAGACCTTTCTAGGCTGGGCACGGTGTCTCATGCCTGTAATCCCAGCACTTTGGGAGGTCAAGGATGGCGGATCACTTGAGGTCAGGAGTTCGAGACTAGCCTGGCCAACATGGTGAAACCCTGTGTTTACTAAAAATACAAACACTAGCCGGGTGTGGTGGCAGGCACCTGTAATCCCAGATACTTGGGAGGCTGAGGCAGGAGAATCGCTTGAACCCAGGAGGCAGAGGTTGCAGTGACCTGAGATCGTGCCATTGCACTCCAGCCTGGGCAACGAGCGAAACGCCGTCTCAAAAAAAAAGAAAAAAAAAGAAAAGAAAATTCAGTGAGCAGTACATATATGATTTTTGTACTCTCCTGTGTGTATTCATCTTCAGTTTTAAAAAGGAGTACTTAGGAGGATATGTGACCAGGTGTCTGAAACACCAGGTGACAAGAACACAGATTTGAGGGCTTGTATATCCACAAATGGGAGACCTTTTTGTACTTCCAAATCTGACCAGAATGCACCTAAATCCAAGAAGGACACTAGAAGGGACAGTATGATAGTGAAAATGAGGAAGTGGGTTGAAAATTTCTAGAGGGACAAATGTTTATATAGACATGTTGCAGCAGAAAGCTTGGCTATACCACTCGCTTCCATGCAAGGTGAAACACTAGCTCACCAATTTCCACCACGCTGTCGTCATTCAACGTCTGGAAAAATGAGAGGACTCGGAGACAATGAAGCTGCTGACACTGCTGGATGATCAGTTTGGCCACTTGATAAATTGCATCCCCAGTAGGAAGGATCAATTCTTCCAGGTTACTAAGAGAACCTAAAATGTAGGCTGTCAGAAAAGACCAAAAAGTTATTCTCTTTGTACTTTTTGTTCCTGTGCAACAGTAATCTGAAAATCATGCATGGTCTAAACATCATGCACAGTCCAGGAAACTCCATGTAGCAAAGAGGCCATTCCTCTTGCTCTCCCAGGGCAAGAGAAGGGCTGGCACATGCTTTCGTCTTCCTGGCTCCTCCAGACAATTCCTCCACCACCCCCTACCAACCAATCTCTCTTGCACTGAAGTCCAGGCTGCCAGTTAAATCTCCATTTCCTCATTTAGAATGAAGCTTTTCCTGACCTGCAGTTTCCTTTCCTAGCTCTGCAATGCCTTCAGCCACCTCCTTTCCCATTCCACCTCCCACTGTCATCCTCAGTGATTCTGCACCAGCCTCCCAGCCCTAAAGCCTCACAGTCCACCACTCTTAGAACCTTCCTTTTCACTTTGACTCCTTCCTAGCATGGCACACTATAGATCATTTGATCATTAGAAAGTCAACTTCTGAGGCCTCACGCATGGAAATATATTGATGTCCCAGGCTTATTTTCTTTCCCTGTCTCAGTTCTTGAATCAGCCAATTTTGCAAGGACCCTGGTTCCTTTAAGGAAGGACAGGATTTAGAAATCAGTATCTAGGCACTTGGTGTGTTCATTATTACTGCAGTACCTTCTAGTCTCTCCATTGACTGAACTGAGAAATATGTATGTGTGTATCTACAGACATGTGGAGATCAGTGTATATATACAGAGGTATCTATTTATGTATGTTCATAGGTTAAAAAACCATGAGGCCAGACCAATATTTCCAATTCTAATCCAATACCTCGAAGCTCATTCTAGCCTCACCTTTCAGTATTAGTAAATTCCTTTTCCAACTGTGAGGAAATGTGGCTCTCGTTATACTCACTGTTTTGTTTCTTTGTTTGTATGTTTGTTTTTGAGATGGAGTCTTGCTCTGTCACCCAGGCTAGAGTACACTGGCCTGATCTTGGCTCACTGCAATCTCTGCCTCCCAGGTTTGAGAGATTCTCCTGCCTCAGCCTCCCAAGTAGCTGGGACTACAGGCATGTGCCCCCACGCCCAGCAAATTTTTGTATTTTTTAGTAGAGACGGGGTTTCACCATGTTGGCCAGGCTGGTCTTGAACTCCTGACCTCAGGTGATCCACCCACTTCGGCCTCCCAAAGTGCTGGGATTACAGGCATGAGCCACTGCACCTGGCTATACTCACAGTATTATTTGCTTAATCAACCTGTGATGTATGCCAGCCATCCCCTTGGCCCTGATCCTACCTCTGCCACCTCAGCCCCCACCCACCTAGCTACCTCCAAAGGAAGGGAAGAGAAGAGGAGGATCCTGGCAATCTTTATGCATGCTTATGTTTGAGAAGCACTTTGAATAGCACAGCTCTATAGTTCCTGTCTCCACTGCCTCACTGTATTTTTTTTTCCTGTTAGAATATTTTCGATGAGCATACATTACTTTCATAATCATTTTTTAAAAATCAAAAAGTATTTAAATTCTATAGCTATCATTTTATGAAACATAGGGTTTCACATATTGAGTTTTCTTAACCTTAAAAGATAGATTTTTACTTATAGTCTAGTAACCTTTGAAACTATGAGGTCTTATATTTGGAACAGATACCTGACAATGAAATTGCATAGTGCTATAATGACCAAATATGTACTCTAAGAAGTCATTCTGCTTTGAATGAGATCAAGTCTGGAGGTAAAACTATAGTGAAGGCATTTGGTGGGTAGAAATTGAGCATCACTATCGCTTCATTCTAGTAAGCAAGGGTAGCTAATACATATCTTACTTCCTTGTGGCTAACTAAAAATAGGAAAAAAAGGATTCTGGGCAGAAAGAGAATAAGAGTACGTAAAAAGCACTATTTTGTAAACATACCAAATTTTTCCGATGTTTCCTCATCAGGAAAGTGCTGGCCTGCAAGATTTAATATCTTCAGAGAAATAAAATTTGGCAAAATGGCAACTATGAAAGGGAAAATAAAAATTTAGTTATGTTCGCTACATCTCTCACAGCAAAGCGTAACATCTTTAAAATGAAGAAATTAGAAATTAATGTAATAATTCGGATTGAATTCATATGACTAAGTAGATAAAACAAATTTTTGCTCAGAAAATAATTCTGATAACTAGAAATGTCATTACAATTCTAGAAATTTCAAATCCAACTGAACTTAAAGGTAAAAAAGAAAATTCTGGAAACACATATACTTTATTATTTAAGAAACAATTTTTCTCTTTTTTTCTTTCTTTTTTTAAAGAGACAAGGTCTCTGTCACCAAGGCTGGAGTGCACTGGTACCATCACAGCTCGCTGCAACCTCAACCTTCTGGGCTCAAGGAATCTTCCTGCCTTCTTCCCTAGTAGCTGGGATTACAGGTACCACTGTGCCCAACTGATTTTTTAAAAACTTTTCAGAGATGGAGGACTTGTTATGTTGCCCAGACTGGTCTCAAACCCCTGACCTCAAGCGAGCCTCCTGCCTCAGCTTCCCAAAGTGCTGGGATTACAGGCATGAGTCACCACACCGAGCCTCAAAATATGGCTCTTTTTAAAGAGTGGTTAATATGACTCTGTGTCCATAGAAACATCTTAAACCACAATTGTAATATTATAACTCTTACCAAATGGGACGGCTTCAAAAAATGAACCTGAAAACTTAATTTCTGTGAGTTTCTTACAGGAAGCAAGTACAGTCATGAGAGACTCAAAATCCGAAAAGAAGTTACACTTCAGATGGAAAACATGAAGGTTTGGAGAATTTTGAATCAATTTTACTGTAAAAGATAGAGGATTTTCAGAAATTAGAAAATACTGCAAATTTCTATCAAAATTAGCCAAGTAGTTTATTATTTTGTTTCAATAATACTGACTTAAAACCAGCTACCACGATGTCATGATCTAAGAATCAGGTCACTGGACTTGGGTTCAGGTTCTGCAACTAACAACTGATGTGAATTTTGACACATTATTGACCCTCTCTGGATAACAGTTTTCTCTTCTATAAAATACAGGCATTGACTCAGTGGCATCACCTTCAGCTTTAACATCTAATAATCTTAAGTTTGTACATGACATTTTGCACAATAAGAATACTGTACAAAGAAGGCCAGGTGCGGTGGCTCACGCCTGTAATCCCAGCACTTTGGAGCCGAGGCGGGGTGGATCACCTGAGCTCAGGAGTTCGAGACCAGCCTGAGCCAACATGTGAAACCCTGTCTCTACTAAAAATACCAAACATTTGCCGGGCGTGGGTGGCAGGCGCCTGTAATCCCAACTATCAGGAGGCTGAGGTAGGAGAATCACTTGAACCCAGGAGGCAGAGGTTGCAGTGAGCCGAGATCGCACCACCCAACTCCAGCCTGGACAACAGAGCAAGACTGCGTCTCAAAAAAAAAAAAAAAGATACTACACAAAGAATACTGTAATCCTAGCACTTTGGGAGGCCGAGGCGGGCGGATCACCTGAGGGTCAGGAGTTTTGAGACGGCCCTGGCCAAATGGTGAAACCCCGTCTCTACTAAAAATTACTAAAAAATTAGCCAGGCTTGGTGGTTGATGCCTGTAATCTCAGCTACTTGGGAGACTGAGGCAGGAGAATTGCGTTGAACCAGGAAACGGAGGTTGCAGTGAGCCAACACGTGCCACTGCACTCCAGCCTGGGGCGACAGAGTGAGACTCTATCTCAAAAAAAAAAAAAAAAAAAAGAAACATGAAAAGGAATGACAACTCTGAAGCAAAACCTAAATTTGTTGCAAAAATTGCTGACAAATATAACTACCACCTCCAGCTTCGATGTATATACGTACACACACACACACACACACACGTTTCGCTGTTGTTCCCCAGGCTGGAGTACGATGGTGCAATCTCGGCTCACACTGCAATCTCTGCCTCCCGGGTTCAGGCAATTCTCCTGCCTCAGCTTCTCAAGTAGCTGGGATTACAGGCATATGCCACCATGCCAGCTAATTTTTGCATTTTTAGTAGAGACAAGGTTTCACCATGTTGGTCAGGCTGGTCTCGAACTCCTGACTTCAAGTGATCTGCCCTTCTCGGTCTCCTAAAGTGGTGGGATTACAGGCGTGAGCCATCATACCCGGCCTATATTAGGGATTAAGAAACTCAGATTTTAGAGTCAATATTCCTCTATTTGAGTCACAGATCTACATTTCCTTAGCTGGATATTACAAATTACTTAATCTCTTTATGTCTCAGTTTTCCCAGCTACAAAAGAGCATTAGTAATAGTACTTTACTTCATAGAGTGAGTATGAAGACTGAGTTAATATTTGTGAAGTGCTTAGGACACTTCCTAGTGTGTAGTAAAGGCTCAATAATTACAAATAGCGCTCTGCTTTCTTAATGAGAAAGAGTGCTATTCCTCACAATTTACCATGGATACAGGCTACACCCTTAGAACCACAGGAACTTTAACTCTTAAGTAAATTATTGGCCAAGTAGCTTTTCCAACCGATGTAAAAAACAAGCATATTAAAGTGCCATCCTTACCTAGTTTGGAAGGATCACAGTCAGCTGAAATTTGAATCAATAATTTCTCCATATGGTGGAAGTTTGGAAATTCTTCAGGAATGACTGAAAAAACATTTATGTTGCCCTTCAGATCCACTGACAGTTCTTTCAGGCACAGGAACTTATCCAGATTAGGAAAGATTTGGTCTGGAAAACAGCACACAGTTTCCCATTATTAATCTAAAGAGTTCTGAATGGACATTTTAAAACTGTCATTTTGATTCATCCAGCTATTTTCACATGCAAACCTTCCACATACCATAAAACATTTTTTTTACAGAGTACACATATGGAGATGTTGCAGTTTGCAGCATTTACTGATTACGTACTGTGTGGGAAGCTCTGTGCTACTCTTTAGACTCACAGAAAGAAATATAGCATTTCGGCCAGGCGCGGTGGCTCACGCCTGTAATCCCAGCACTTTCGGAGGCCGAGGTGGGCAGGTCATGAGGTCAGGAGTTCGAGACCAGTCTGGCCAACATAGTGAAATCCTGTCTCTACTAAAAATACAAAAAAAATTAGCTGGGTGTGGTGATGTGCATCTGTAATCCCAGCTACTCAGGTGGCTGAGGCAGGAGAATCATGTAAACCTGGGAGACGGAGGTTGCAATATCTAGATAATAGGCAAATTCATAGCGACAGAAAACAGAAGAGAAGTTATCAGGGGCTGGTGGGAGGGAAGATTTTTAAATTTTTATTATTATTGTTTTTTGAGATGGAGCCTCACTAGGTAGCCCAAGCTGGAGTGCAGTGGCGTGATCTGGGCTCACTGCAACCTCCGCCTCCCAGGCTTAAGTGATTCTCATGCCTCAGCCTCCCGAGTAACTGGAACTACAGGTACATGCCACCACGCCAAGCTAATTTTTTGTATTTTAGTAGAGACGTGGTCTCTAACTCCTGAGCTCAGGCGATCCACCCTCCTCAACCTCCCAAAGTGCTGGGATTACAGGCGTGAGCCACCGCACCCGGCCCGGAGATTTATTGTTTCATGGGTAGAGTCTGGGATGATGAAAAGGTTCTGGAGATGGATAGTGGTGATGGTTGTACAACATAGTGAATGCACTTAATGCCACCGAGTTGTACACTTAAAATGATTAAAATGTAAGTTTTGTTACATGTATTTTACCATAAGAAAAAAGTACTTGAAAAAAGATGAAAAATGTTCTAAATTTGGTAAATGTCAACCCACACATCCCAAGAAAGTTCAGTGTACCTCAAGCAAGATGTATGAAAAGCAAAGCCCACCTAGGCAGGTAACAGTCAAACCGCTGAAGACCAAAGCAATACTAGCAACAATTAGAAAATGAAAAAATATTTGTAATGACATTTACAACACATTCAAAAGATATGAGTATCTAGGAATAAATTTAATGAAAGATGGGTAAAGTCTACACTGAAAACTATCAAATAGTGCTTAGAGGAGTTAAGACACAAATAGGTGAAGATGTTATTTCCCATTAATTTATTTATTTCCCAGGGACTATAGGTCTTTCTTCCTTTAGGCAGCTAGGGTGAAGGTAATTTCTAAGCATCATCTCACATATAGCTAATTCTTTTAATAATAACAAATAATTCATGTCTTTATTAAGAGCCTTCAATAATTTATTTATTTATTTTTGAGACAGTCTCGCTCTGTCGCCCAGGCTGGAATGCAGTGACACAATCTCGGCTCACTGCAAGCTTCGCCTCCCGGGTTCACGCCATTCTCCTGCCTCAGCCTCCCGAGTAGCTGGGACTACAGGTGCCCACCACCATGCCCGGCTAATTTTTTTGTATTTTTAGTAGAGACGGGGTTTCACTGTGTTATCCAGGGTGGTCTCGATCTCCTAACTTGTGATCCACCCGCCTCGGCCTCCCAAAGTGCTGGGATTATAGGCATGAGCCACGGCGCCCGGCCCCTTCAATAATTTAATGTAAATATTTTATTCATTTTATCTAAGTTATTTGAAAACCATTCAGTTATTCAGGGACTTTTCACTAATTCATGCTACTGTCAAAAAAACATTAGTGAAGGTTTATTTTATATCTATTCTGTCAATGAGCATTCATGCTTTCATGGCCTCAGAAGTTTTCAACCACTTAAAGTAAGAAAAAGAAATTACACATCAGAATAGTCATCCAAAATATATACAGGTATACCTTGTGACTGGATTGTCCCTGAGATTTCAAGAGATTCCAGGGAAGGCAGGGTGAGAAGCAGTTCCTCTTCGGCTGCACTGAGTTCCAATTTGCTTATGGAGCACTTGGTGACAGAGGCCTTAGACAGCTCAAGAGCTGGGCGGATGCTTTCAATAAAGCCTCCGCTGTGGTTTAAATGGAGTTCGATGCGCTGTGAAGCTGAGAAAACTGTCATTAGAATTTCGAGCATCTCCTGGTCTACAGCATCAATATCATTCACATGGACTTCCAGACAAGGAATCTTGTACTGCTTTGGAGAAAGTTTCCAATAGCCAGTACTAAGGTCTGGTGGTGCCGTGCGCTGGATAGCCATATAGCTCTTTACGTTATCCTCTTTTTCAGCTAAATTTTGCTCCCATTCATTCATAGGTTCAAAGGCAGAAGCATAGTCCTGATCTATAGTTGGTGCCTGTGATTTGTCCAAACATGCTTCCAGGACTGAAAAATCGCATCTGGGTGATGTCTTCTTGCCATTTATCGAGACGTGGATGCTCCTCAGCAATGACAAGCTTTCTGGGTGGTCGAAAAAGTACTGTAAGTTAAGTACTTTCAAAGTCAGTGTTCTCCCTTGAAGGAATTGCAAAACAAATGGAGAACACGCAGCAACAGTGTTGCTTTGATAAGCAATTTGCAGGGCAAGAACCAGTAAATGTTCTGAAACCATTGAAAAGTAAGCTTGTGGACACATTTGCCACAATCCCCTAATTAACTGCATCTTCAGTGAAATTTCTGGCTGGTGCTTTAAGTAGTCATCATTTTCAGATATATTCTCCAATGACTCTTTGTTATCCACTAAATGGAGCAAATGAGACACAATTTTGGGCCCTGCTTTTGTTGAAGGGAGGCTGGAGACATAGTTCAAAAAATTGTTGTAGGCGCTTACAGTCATCATGGGTGAGTTGATTTGTGTCAAATAATACAGTCCCAAATCTTGATGTTCCTGCCTATCTGAATCCAGGAGTTCTATCAGCCTCATCCCCGCAAGAAATTCTTGGAAGGCAGGACTTAAAAACTGGTAGGATGGTCTTAGTCTCTGGGCTGT